TGTTGACTACTGTATGTAGAGACACCTGTCTATTGTTGACGACTGTATGCATAGACACCTGTCTATTGTTGACGACTGTATGTATAGACACCTGTCTATTGTTAACGACTGTATGTATAGACACCTGTCTATTGTTGACGACTGTATGTAGAGACACCTGTCTATTGTTGACGACTGTATGTAGAGACACCTGTCTATTGTTGACTACTGTATGTATAGACACCTGTCTATTGTTCACTATATATAGACACCTGTCTATTGTTGACTATATGTAGAGATACCTGTCTATTGTTGAATATATATAGACACCTGTCTATTGTTGACTGTATGTAGAGATACCTGTCTATTATTGACAACTATGTAGAGACACCTGTCTATTGTTCTTGACTATGTCGAGACACCTGTCTTTTGTTTATGACTGTATGTAGAGACACTTGTCTATTGCTGACGATTGTATGAAAAGACCATGTAGAGACACCTGTCTATTGTTGACGACTGTATGTAAAGACACCTGTCTATTGTTGACGACTGTATGTAGAGACACCTGTCTATTGTTGACGACTGTATGTAAAGACACCTGTCTATTGTTGACGACTGTATGTAGAGACACCTGTCTATTGTTGAGGACTGTATGTAGTGACACATGTCTATTGTTGAGGACTGCATGTAGAGACACCTGTATATTGTTGAGGACTGTTTGTAGAGACATCTGTATATTGTTGTTGACTGTATGTAGAGACACCTGTCTATTGTTGGCGACTATGTAGAGACACATGTCTATTGTTGACGACTGTATGTAGTGGCACCTGTCTATTGTTGACGACTATGTATAGACACCTGTCTATTGTTGACGATTGTATGTAAAGACTGTATGTAGAGACACCTGTCTATTGTTGACGACTGTATGTATAGACACCTGTCTATTGTTGACGACTATGTAGAGACACCTGTCTATTGTTAACAACTGCATGTAAAGACACCTGTCTATTGTTGACAACTGTATATATAGACACCTGTCTATTGTTGACTATATATAGACACCTGTCTATTGTTGACTGTATGTAGAGATACCTGTCTATTGTTGACTATATATAGACACCTGTCTATTGTTGACTGTATGTAGAGATAACTGTCTATTGTTGACAACTATGTAGAGACACCTGTCTATTGTTGTTGACTATGTAGAGACACCTGTCTTTTGTTTATGACTGTATGTAGAGACACCTGTCTATTGTTGACGATTGTATGAAAAGACCATGTAGAGACACCTGTCTATTGTTCACTATATATAGACACTTGTCTATTGTTGACTGTATGTAGAGATACCTGTCTATTGTTGACTATATATAGACACCTGTCTATTGTTGACTTTATGTAGAGATACCTGTCTATTGTTGACAACTATGTAGAGACACCTGTTTATTGTTGTTGACTATGTAGAGACACCTGTCTAGTGTTGACGACTGTATGTAAAGACACCTGTTTATTGTTGACGATTGTATGTAAAGATACCTGTCTGTTGTTGACGATTGTATGTAAAGATACCTGTCTATTGTTGACGATTGTATGTAGAGACACTTGTATATTGTTGACGATTGTATGTAGAGACACCTGTATATTGTTGACAATTGTATGTAAAGACACCTGTCTATTGTTGACGACTGTATGTAAAGACACCTGTCTATTGTTGACGACTGTATGAAAAGACACTTGTATATTGTTGACGCCTGTATATATAGACACCTGTCTATTGTTGAGGACTGTTTGTAGAGATATCTGTCTATTGTTGACGACTGTATGTAGAGACACCTGTCTATTGTTGACGACTGTATGCAGAGACACCTGTCTATTGTCGACTACTGCATGAAGAGAAACCTGTCTATTGTTGACGACTGTATGTATAGACACCTGTGTATTATTGACGACTGTATGTAGAGACACCTGTCTATTGGTGACGATTGTTTGTAGAGACACCTGTCTATTGTTGTTGACTGTATGTAGATACACCTGTCTATTGTTGACGACTATGTAGAGACACCTGTCTATTGTTGACGACTGTATATTTTGACACCTGTCTATTGTTGACGACTGTATGTAGAGACACCTGTCTATTGTTGACGAATGATTGTAGAGACACCTGTCTATTATTGTTGACTGTATGTAGAGACACCTGACTATTGTTGACGACTATGTAGAGACACATGTCTATTGTTGACGACTGTATGTAGTGACACATGTCTATTGTTGACGACTGTATGTATAGTCACCTGTCTATTGTTGATGTTGACGACTGTATGAATCACTTTAGATACCTTTGGATTATTATTGTTATGGTTTGTTGTCTCATTGAAATATATCCCACATATCTTTATCATTAGTTCAGATATTTTGTGCAATGTATTCCCCCCTAAAAACAGACTGGCTTACCCTTTATGGAGACTTTCAGTACTTTTCATGAATCTTCAATGTATTTTGCTTACTGGATACCTAATATATAATATATCCGGGATACTAAGTGCAATGCAGTGCCATAAAACATATAAGTCATGTGAAAAAAAATTAAATGGAGAATGTGACCATTGGACACAGATCAATTCCATATACCATTATAAAGGGACGTAACTCAAGATCAATTAAAGTGATGCCACCCAAATTCCAAACTTGATCTGAGTTTTATAATAAAAAGGATTGTGTATAAGTTTTATAACATTTGGTTGAGGCAAACTTAAGTTAGAGAACGGAAACCATTTTGCGATGTACATATGGAAGGACGTACAGAAAGACAAGGTTAACACTGGCGAGGGGCATAAAAATAGAGATCATTTGACTTACTTTGAGACCATGTGACTTACTCTGAGATCATGTGACTTACTTTGAGAACATGTGACTCCCATGTAACCAGGAAAACATTTACAGAAGCCATCACTTGGTCGACAGTATGCTTGGTTCTCACAGTTACATGTGGTATTGCATCCTATACCATACTTGCTCTTCGGACATTCTGTTTGATGAATAAAAAGATTATAATCACCTGGTATTCACAATGGAATATTAATAAGTTGTTTTTATGTTCATTTTTCATTAACAATGTTTATTACTTACACAGCTGATTATTAGGTAGGAGTAGGAGGGAGTGTCATCCCGAATTCCCCAAAAAATAAAGTATTCTTTCTCGAAAAAAATGAATTATCAATTTCCGAGTCCTGATAGGTGTAAATCCCTAATTACCAAGAAAATAACTTTATTGCTATAACGGACCTTATCAGTTCATACATAATCTACAATTGGTGGCAGATTTTGCACAAATGCTCAAGTTCAAAATAATTCAAGCCAAATTAACTCATGCAATATAACTGCCCTGATAGATAGCTTGTTCACTTTTATGTCATGTGACTGGTAGATTGTTGTCACTTTTATGTCATGTGACTGGTAGATTGTTGTCGCTTTTATGTCATGTAACTGGTAGATTGTTGTCGCTTTTATGTCATGTGACTGGTAGATTATTGTCATGTGACTTGTAGATTGTTGTCGCTTTTATGTCATGTGACTGGTAGATTGTTGTCACTTTTTATATGTCATGTGACTGGTAGATTGTTGTCACTTTTATGTCATGTGACTGGTAGATTGTTGTAACTTTTATGTCATGTGACTGGTAGATTGTTGTCACTTTTATGTCATGTGACTGGTAGGTTTTTGTCTCTTTTATGTCATGTGACTGGTAGATTGTTGTCACTTTTACGTTATGTGACTGGTAAATTGTTGTCACTTTTATGTCATGTTACTGGTATAGATTGTTGTCATGTGACTGGTAGATTGTTGTCGCTTTTATGTCATGTGACTAGTAAATTGTTGTCATTTTATGTCATGTGACTGGTAGATTATTGGCACTTTTATGTCATGTGACTGGCAGATTGTTGTCATGTTACTGGTATATTGTTGGCAACAACATTCCTTTGGTTCAATCTTATCAGGGGTTTTACACTTAAAACTATAGGTGAGAAACAGATTCCCCTTTTGTCATGTTCGTTAATTGACAATATTCATCCACTCTCTCAAGTCAAATATCTAATACTTAAGTCAAAGAAATGTTATAAACCATATATCTTAATTCTACTTTTTATTAATAGCAAGCTAAATTAATTTGAAAAAAGAATCAACATCAATTTCTGAAAATAAGATATTTAACATTGTCTACATAAGGCCAACTAAAATTAATTGGTAGATTTTCAGTTTGTTTTTTTTTTGTTGGGAGGACAAGTATATTTAGTACAATGGGAACATAGATGGAAACCAATTAAGTGTTGAAAAATGCTATAGGGTTTATTGTTTCTTCTAGATCTTATGCACAATTTATCAAATGCCTAAAACATGAACTGAACCAAAAGAAGTTGTTTCATGAATTTAATGAGTGGTTGGGGCTAGAGGGTCTTGGGTATTTGTCAACAAGGATAATTTTGAAAGTTTCCGAGTTATACATTGGCTGACGTTTTATATGATCCAAAACAATGTAATACATTGCACAAGTTTGTAATAGTGTCAACTTGATGTCTTTACTCCAGTCATGTTTTACATACCAATGTGTGCCATCAATCTTCCGCTTTAGATATCATCCCTGGGGATTTATGGTCAAATATTTCCTGACCATTGAAATTTGTGACGTACTTTGCTCTCTTTGACCACTAATTACCCAAATATTTCAGGCCCTTACCATAACCAATCTCTCTTACTCGGAATGTAACTTAACCATTGTAGATCGCCTTTATCATTTTGGTTAAACTTTTTGAAATAATACGAAAAACCATGTCAATATTTTGCAATAGGAAATTTTGTATAAAACGAAATTATTAGTGCGATTAACGGTAACAGTAAAAAAAATAATCCATCGGGGATGATTTTAGCATTATTGGTGTACGGTGTACGGGCGGGGATGAACATCTACCAATTGATTTTGATTGGCCTAACACACTGCCATCTCTAAACAAGAAATTGGATCTTGAAAATTAATTACCAGCAGCTTGACAGAAATCTCCTCTGAAGCCAGGTAAACAGATGCACCTCCCTAATTTATAATCACATAACCCTCCATTGTCACACTTAGGACATTTGTCTAAACACTCAATGACTGCTGTTCCTTCAGGACAAACTGAAAGTAGAAAAATGAAAGTAGTTAAATATTTGTATAACAGTCTATTATGTTGTACCTTAAGTAAAAAATGAAAGTAGTTAAAACATTTGTCTAAACAGTCAATGCCTGCTGTAGCTTTAGGACAAACTGAAAGTAGAAAATGAAAGTAGCAACTATTGAAACATTTGTTGAAAGCCAAAAATAAAGTACAGAGTGTTGTCCAGCTTTTACAATTGATGGGTGGATTTCATTCATTTGGTCAATTTTATGAATGACAGAACCAGTGACCGTTTTTTTCACCAATCAACAGGTTAGGACATATCTCCATAATAGGATATAACTTTACAAAATAATATTCTCAAATCTCTGTTGGTGAAAATAATAAAACAAAGTGCCTTCGATTTAGATTGACACCTTAAAACCTTTGAATAATTACTTTTCCAGAGTATCTGGAGAAGTTGCTAGATTGATACCTCTGGAAAAATTCATTTCCCAAAGAATGAATCTAATTGACAAAAATGTTTTCAGAATAGTATCTTACCCAAAGTTGTTGTGTGTCACTGGGTTGCTGTCTCATTGATTTTTATTTACACTTGTCTTTAATATCATTTTATATGTGACCACTTACCTTTCTGACAGGTATGTCCAGTATAACCAGGTGGACAGATAATAGCCAGGCACTGACCAGTGATGTGGTCACAGAATTGTCCTTCATCACACCATGTACATTTCTGTTGACATAAATTGCCAAAGGTCCCAGCAGGACAAACTAAAACATTTACAATGTTATTTAATTAACATGGGAGTTTCCCTTTACTTTGTAATGATACTGCTTTATCATTTTAGCTAATAGATTGATTGATTGTTGGTTGCTTAACGTCCAGTGGTTTAGCTAATAGAAAAACAAAGGATATGGGGTATCAACCCATGACACAAAATCAGTACATGCACAGCAAAAAAACACACAAAGAGTAAAGGAACAGTGGTTTTATTACTGTTCATCATCTCAAAGTCACAGTGAGGCTTTCAACAGGGAGGGAAAATCAAAGCGCGAATGCGCTGTAAAGACAGTTACCTACAGGTCTTATGATTGTACATTCCAGACTAATCATAATCATGTTTAAACATGTACCTCTTACAGTTATTCCATACACCAAATTTTTTTGACCTAATGCTGAATTACTGAGTAATTAGGGAAAAAAGACCAAAACACAAAAAAATTACATTGACAAATGAACCATGAAAATGAGGTCAAGGTCAGATGATGCCCGCTAGACCGACATGTACACCTTACAGTAATTTTATACACCAACCATAGTTAACCTATTGATCAAAGTACCTAATATAACAGACCAAAACACAAAAACTTAACATTGATCAAATGAACCATGTAAATGAGGTCAAGGTCAGATGATACCCGCCAGACCTACATGTGCACATTACAATCATTTCATACACCAAACATAGTTGACCTACACCTTATAGCACCTTCCAAAAACAGAACAAAACACAAAAACTTGACATTGACCAATGAACCAGGAAAATAAATTAATGTTTATAGCACTCAATAAACAGAAAAACAGACCAAAACACAAAAACTTATCATTGACCAACAAGCGAAAACGTAAAATCAAAAATTTATAAAAGTCGAAAGGGAGCTCATGTCAATAGATATAGTGACATTTCTGTGTCACCAGTAAAGATACATAATTAGAATAAATAGTGACATTTCTGTCTGACCAGTAAAGATACATAATTAGAATAAATAGTGACATTTCTGTCTGACCAGTAAAGAAACATAGTTAGAATAAATAGCGTCATTTCTATCTGACCAGTAAAGATACATAATTAGAATAAATAGCGACATTTCTGTATCACCAGTAAAGATACATAATTAGAATAAATACCGACATTTCTGTCTCACCAGTAAAGATGCATAGTCAGAATAAATAGTGACATTTCTGTCTGACCAGTAAAGATACATAATTAGAATAAATAGTGACATTTCTGTCTGACCAGTAACGATACATAATTAGAATAAATAGTGAGATTTCTGTATCACCAGTAAAGATACCTCGTTAGAATAAATAGCGACATTTCTGTCTCACCAGTAAAGATGCATAGTCAGAATAAATAGTGACATTTCTGTCTGACCAGTAAAGATACATAATTAGAATAAATAGTGACATTTCTGTCTCACCAGTAAAGATACATAATTAGAATAAATAGTGACATTTCTGTCTCACCAGTAAAGATACATAATTAGAATAAATAGCGACATTTCTGTCTCACCAGTAAAGATACCTCGTTAGAATAAATAGCGACATTTTTGTCTCACCAGTAAAGATACATAATTAGAATAAATAATGACATTTCTGTCTCACCAGTAAAGATACATAATTAGAATAAATAGTGACATTTCTGTCTCACCAGTAAAGATACATAATTATAATAAATAGCGACATTTCTGTCTCACCAGTAAAGATACCTCGTCAGAATAAATAGCGACATTTCTGTCTCACCAGTGAAGATACATAAATAGAATAAATAGCAACATTTCTGTGTCACCAGTAAAGATACATAGTCAGAATAAATAGTGACATTTCTGTCTGACCAGTAAAAAAACATAATTAGAATAAATAGCGACATTTCTGTCTGACCAGTAAAGATACCTAATTAGAATAAATAGTGACATTTCTGTCTCACCAGTAAAGATACATAATTAGAATAAATAGTGACATTTCTGTCTGACCAGTAAAGATACATAGTTAGAATAAATAGCGACATTTCTGTCTGAGCAGTAAAGATACTTAATAAGAATAAATAGCGACATTTCTGTCTGACCAGTAAAGATACATAATTAGAATAAATAGTGATATTTTTGTCTCACCAGTAAAGATACATAGTTAGAATAAATAGCAACATTTCTGTCTCACCAGTAAAGATACATAGTTAGAATAAATAGTGACATTTCTGTCTCACCAGTAAAGATACATAGTTAGAATGAATAGCGACATTTCTGTCTGAGCAGTAAAGGTACATATTTAGAATAAATAGCGACATTTCTGTCTCACCTGTAAAGATACATAGTTAAAATAAATAGCGACATTTCTGTCTCACCAGTAAAGATACATAGTTAGAATAAATAGTGACATTTCTGTCTCACCAGTAAAGATGCATAGTTAGAATGAATAGCGACATTTCTGTCTGAGCAGTAAAGGTACATATTTAGAATAAATAGCGACATTTCTGTCTCACCAGTAAAGATACATAGTTAAAATAAATAGCGACATTTCTGTCTCACCAGTAAAGATAGATGATTTATTTAAGTAACTTTTTTATTCTCCTTATAAGATATAACCTTAAATTATTAGAAAAAAACACTCTTGTAATCAACTTTTCTTTCTATTCATATAATTTTTACAAGCTATTCTGGGATTTAGGAAAAGTTGTCGTTTCGTGGATATTAGATTCCATGGTTTTGCCAAAGTCTATATATCAGATAAAAAATGTATGCTCTTTTGAACATTTCAATACAAGGTTTACCTATACCCAAGAAATAAACAAAAATCAATATACCTTTGGAACAATGTGATCCTATTTAGCCAGGTCGACAATGACATTCCCCTATCGCAGGGTAACATGATCCACCACAATCACAGAAACAATTTACCTTTAGAACAATGTGATCCTATATAGCCAGGTCAACAGTCACATTCCCCTGTCGCAGTGTCACATGATCCACCCTAATCACATACACAATTTACCTTTAGAACAATGAGATTCTATATAGCCAAGTCGACAATCACATCCCCCTGTCGCAGGGTAACATGATCCACCACAATCACATCAACAATTTACCTTTAGAACAATGTGATCCTTTTTAGCCAGGTCAACAATGACATTCCCCTGTCACAGGGTCACATGATCCATCACAATTACACAAACAATTTACCTTTAGAACAATGTGATCCTATATAGCCAAGTCGACAATGACATTCCCCTGTCGCAGGGTAACATGATCCACCACAATCATATAAACAATTTACCTTTAGAACAATGTAATCCTATATAGCCAGGTCGACAATGACATTCCCCTGTCGCAGGGTCACATGATCTACCCTAATCACATAAACAATTTACCTTTAGAACAATGTGATCCTATATAGCCAGGCCGACAATGACATTCCCCTGTCGCAGGGTCACATGATCCACCCTAATCACATAAACAATTTTCCTTTAGAACAATGTGATCCTATATGGCTAGGTCGACAATGACATTCCCCTGTCACAGGGTCACATGATCCACCCTACTCACATAAACAATTTACCTTTAGAACAATGTGATCATATATAGCCAGGTCGACAATGACATTCCCCTGTCGCAGGGTCACATGATCCACCCTAATCACATAAGCAATTTACCTTTAGAACAATGTGATCTTATATAGCTAGGTCGATAATGACATTCCCCTGTCGCAGGGTCACATGATCCTACACAATCACACAAACAATTTACCTTTGGAACAATGTGATCCTATATAGCCAGGTCGACAATGACATTCCCCTGTCACAGGGTCACATGATCCACAACAATCATATAAACAATTTACCTTTAGAACAATGTGATCCTATATAGCCAGGTCGACAATGACATTCCCCTGTCACAGGGTCACATGATCCATCACGATGACACAAACAATTTGCCTTTAGAACAAGTGATCCTTTATAGCCAGGTCGACAATGACATTCCCCTGTCACAGGGTCACATGATCCACCCTAATCACATAAACAATTTACCTTTTGAGCAATGTGATCCTATATAGGCAGGTCGACAATGACACTACCCTGTCGCAGGGTAACATGATCCACCACAATCACATAAACAATTTACCTTTAGAACAATGTGATCATATATAGCCAGGTCGACAATGACATTCCCCTGTCGCAGGGTCACATGATCCACCCTAATCACATAAACAATTTACCTTTAGAACAATGTGATCGGATATAGCTAGGTCGACAATGACATTCCACTGTCACAGGGTCACATGATCCACCTTACTCACATACACAATTTACCTTTAGAACAATGTGATCCTATATAGCCAGGTCGACAATGACATTCCCCTGTCACAGGGTCACACGATCCTACACAATCACAAAAACAATTTACCTTTGGAACACTGTGGTCCTATATTGCCAGGTCGACAATGACATTCCCCGTCACAGGGTCACTTGATCCATCACAATGACACAAACAATTTTCCTTTAGAACAAGTGATCCTGTAAAGCCAGGTCGACAATGACATTCCCCTGTCCCAGGGTCACATGATCCATCCTACTCACATAAACAATTTACCTTTAGAACAATGTGATCATATATAGCCAGGTCGACAATGACATTCCCCTGTCGCAGGGTCACATGATCTACCCTAATCACATAAACAATTTACCTTTAGAACAATGTGATTCTATATAGCCAGGTCGACAATGACATTCCCCTGTCGCAGGGTAACATGATCCACCCAAATCACATAAGCAATTTACCTTTAGAACAATGTGATCCTATATAGCTAGGTCGACAATGACATTCCCCTGTCACAGGGTCACATGATCCACCCTACTCACATAAACAATGTACCCTTAGAACAATGTGATCCTATATAGCCAGGTAGACAATGACATTCCCCTGTCACAGGGTCACATGATCAAACACAATCACACACACAATTTACCTTTGGAACAATGTGATCCTATTTAGCCAGGTCGACAATGACATTCCCCTGTCACAGGGTCACATGATCCATCACGATGACACAAACAATTTACCTTTAGAACAAGTGATTATTTATAGCCAGGTCGACAATGACATTCCCCTGTCACAGGGTCACATGATCCACCCTAATCACATAAACAATTTACCTTTAGAACAATGTGATCCTATATAGGCAGGTCGGCAATCACATTCCCCAGTCGCAGGGTCACATGATCAACCCTAATCACATAAAAAATTTACCTTTAGAACAATGTGATCCTATATAGGCAGGTCGACAATGACATTCCCCTGTCGCAGGGTAACATGATCCACCACAATCACATACACAATTTACCTTTAGAACAATGTGATCGGATATAGCTAGGTCGACAATGACATTCCACTGTCACAGGGTCACATGCTCCACCTTACTCACATACACAATTTACCTTTAGAACAATGTGATCTTATATAGCCAGGTCGACAATGACATTCCCCTGTCACAGGGTCACACGATCCTACACAATCACACAAACAATTTACCTTTGGAACACTGTGATCCTATATTGCCAGGTCGACAATGACATTCCCCCGTCACAGGGTCACTTGATCCATCACAATGACACAAACAATTTACCTTTAGAACAAGTGATCCTGTATAGCCAGGTCGACAATGACATTCCCCTGTCGCAGGGTCACATAATCCACCACAATCACATACCCAATTTACCTTTAGAACAATGTGATTTTATATAGCCAGGTCGACAATGACATTCCCCTGTCACAGGGTCACATGATCAAACACAATCACACACACAATTTACCTTTGGAACAATGTGATCCTATTTAGCCAGGTCGACAATGACATTCCCCTGTCACAGGGTCACATGATCTATCACGATGACACAAACAATTTACCTTTAGAACAAGTGATTATTTATAGCCAGGTCGACAATGACATTCCCCTGTCACAGGGTCACATGATCCATCACGATGACACAAACAATTTACCTTTAGAACAAGTGATTATTTATAGCCAGGTCGACAATGACATTCCCCTGTCACAGGGTCACATGATCCACCCTAATCACATAAACAATTTACCTTTTGAGCAATGTGATCCTATATAGCCAGGTCGGCAATCACATTCCCCAGTCGCAGGGTCACATGATCAACCCTAATCACATAAAAAATTTACCTTTAGAACAATGTGATCCTATATAGGCAGGTCGACAATGACATTCCCCTGTCGCAGGGTAACATGATCCACCACAATCACATACACAATTTACCTTTAGAACAATGTGATCGGATATAGCTAGGTCGACAATGACATTCCACTGTCACAGGGTCACATGCTCCACCTTACTCACATACACAATTTACCTTTAGAACAATGTGATCTTATATAGCCAGGTCGACAATGACATTCCCCTGTCACAGGGTCACACGATCCTACACAATCACACAAACAATTTACCTTTGGAACACTGTGATCCTATATTGCCAGGTCGACAATGACATTCCCCCGTCACAGGGTCACTTGATCCATCACAATGACACAAACAATTTACCTTTAGAACAAGTGATCCTGTATAGCCAGGTCGACAATGACATTCCCCTGTCGCAGGGTCACATAATCCACCACAATCACATACCCAATTTACCTTTAGAGCAATGTGATCATATATAGCCAGGTCGACAATCACATTCCCCTGTCGCAGGGTCACATGATCCACCCTCATCACATACACAATTTACCTTTAGAACAATGTGATTTTATATAGCCAGGTCGACAATGACATTCCCCTGTCGCAGGGTAACAAGATCCACCACAATCACATAAACAATTTACCTTTAGAACAATGTGATCCTATATAGCCAGGTCAACAATGACTTTCCCCTGTCACAGAGTCATATGATCCATCATAATCACACAAACAATTTACCTTTGGAACAATGTGATCCTATATAGCCAGGTCGACAATGACATTCCCCTGTCGCAGGGTCACATGATCCACCTTATTCCAATAAATAATTGACCTTTAGAACAATGTGATCCTATATAGACAGGTCGACAATGACAATCCCCTGTCGCAGGGTCACATAATCCACCACAATCACATACACAATTTACCTTTAGAACAATGTGATCCTATATAGCCAGGTCGACAATCACATTCCCCTGTCGCAGGGTCACATGATCCACCCTAATCACATACACAATTTACCTTTAGAACAATGTGATTTTATATAGCCAGGTCGACAATGACATTCCCCTGTCGCAGGGTAACAAGATCCACCACAATCACATAAACAATTTACCTTTAGAACAATGTGATCCTATATAGCCAGGTCAACAATGACTTTCCCCTGTCACAGAGTCACATGATCCATCATTATCACACAAACAATTTATCTTTGGAACAATGGGATTCTATATAGCCAGGTCGACAATGACATTCCACTGTCACAGGGTCACATGATCCACCTTACTCACATAAACAATTTACCTTTAGAATAATGTGATCCTATATAGCCAGGTCGACAATGACATTCCCCTGTCGCAGGGTCACATGATCCATCCTAATCACATAAACAATTAACATTTAGAGCAATGTGATCCTATATAGCTAGGTCGGCAATCACATTCCCCTGTCACAGGGTCACATGATCCACCCGAATCCAATAAACAATTGACCTTTAGAACAATGTGATCCTATATAGCCAGGTCGACAATGATATTCCCCTGTCGCAGGGTCACATGATCCACCACAATCACATAAACAATTTATCTTTAGAACAATGTGATCCTATATAGCCAGGTCGACAATCACATTCCCCTGTCGCAGGGTAACAAGATCCACCACAATCACATAACCAATTTACCTTTAGAACAATGTGATCCTATATAGCCAGGTCAACAATGATATTCCCCTGTCACAGAGTCACATGATCCATCACAATCACACAAACAATTTACTTTTGGAACAATGTGATCCTATATAGCCAAGTCGACAATGACATTCCCCTGTCGCAGGGTAACATGATCCACCACAATCACATAAACAATTTACCTTTGGAACAATTTGATCATATATAGCCAGGTCGACAATGACTTTCCCCTGTCGCAGGGTCACATGATCAACCCTAATCACATAAACAACTTACTTTTAGAACAATGTGATCCTATATAGCCAGGTCGACAATGACATTCCACTGTCGCAGGGTAACATGCTCCATCACAATCATATAAACAATTTACCTTTAGAACAATGTAATCCTATATTGCCAGGTCGACAATGACATTCCCCTGTCGCTGGGTAACATGATCCACCCGAATCACATAAACAATTTACCTTTAGAACAATGTGATCCTATATAGCCAGGTCGACAATGACATTCCCCTGTCACAGGGTCAAATGATCCTACACAATCACACAAACAATTTACCTTTGGAACAATGTGATCCTATATAGCCAGGTCGACAATGACATTCCCCTGTCGCGAGGTAGCATGATCCACCCTAATCACATGGACAATTTACCTTCATAACAATGTGATCCTATATAACCAGGTCGACAATGACATTCCCTTGTCGCAGGATTACACGATCCATCAATTCCAGAATCACAAAAGCCGAAGTTATTAAGATGAATATTGTGGAAGAATTGGTTAAATTATTTATCTCAGCTATTTCTCAAGTATCAAATAATGTTTGTACCGTTATGTTTCCGCTATCCAATCCTACAATTTTCAAAAGTTATTTCTAATGTATTTTCAATTGCTTTAAAATATGTATCCTTTTTTTAAAGATTCAATGTCTGAGATTATGCACATACGCTGTCCCATGTTAGGGGAGGGTTTTTTTTGCCAGGTAACATGTTAAACACGCCACTTTTTGCATGTACCAGTGCATAGTAAGGACCCAGTAACAGTCCATAGTAGGGACCCAGTAACAGTCTATAGTAAGTACCCAGTAACAGTCCATAGTAAGGACCCAGTAATTTGGTGGTTGTTG